TAAAGATACATTCCTCTGGCTACATAATTTGCGCTCTGTAGATATGTATACAGGGGTACGTTTTCAGAATGAGCCTATGTTGATAGGAGTGAAGGAATGAAAATGTAGAACATTAAATCTTCGTAATAGCATTCTGCTCCTGCTGTTCTTCCAGAATAAGGACACAAAAATAAACAATGTTAATTATGTCAATTAAAATGCAGTCTAATCCAGAGGGAGGAGCTGTTCCCATAACGTTAGCTTTAGCTGCATATTGGCACATATTGACAAAGCATTAGCCTCCATCCGCATTGTGTAATGATTTTTTTTCTTTCTGCAAAGGAAGTCCTCCTATTGAGATAAATGCCTTGTTTTCTTCAACCATTGTGGTACATTTTGAGGTGCACCAGCATTTAGTCAATCGCTTTTCTACTTTACTGTTTCCATCCAGCTTGCCAAAAGAGGACAAATGAGTCTTTTAATATTAGACCCATGTGAGCAATTCACAGTCAAGCTCACAAACACCTGAAGACAATGAGAAAAGAGCTTTCGTTTCCTTTAAATAAGCAGTGTTGAATGGTACTAACTACATTTAAAACGCAAGAGTAAAAATCTAAAGACAGAAATGTCATTCCAAGCTAGCATAATTTTCTTTTTTGTGACTATAATTACAATAATATATATTGATAATATAATTATCAATATATATTATCAATATATATATATATATATATATATATATATATATATATATATATATATATATATATATATATATATATATATATATATATATATATATATTATAACGATAATTACAAAAAAGCACATAAAGTATTACAAAATTACTCCAGCAACTAAACCCTTATAAAAGTGTGCTAATAGTCTTTCAAACTTTAAATGAGTTAACTAACTAGTACTTACCAAGTCAAATTTTTATGCACTTCTTAAATTACACTGATTTAACATTAAAATGCGATACTGGAAATATTCCTTAGAGATTTTGCTCCATAATACCAGTTAAAAATTAGAATTTCAACAGTCTGATTTAACGGACACAAAACTGCTGTATTATGCATGCATAATGTTGTTTTTGCGTTATAAAGTTTATTTTAGCTCTAATGCAATAATATTGTTATTTTTTTTATCAAATTACCTCTCTGTGTCATGTTTTTATATCTGTTTCACCATCCAAGACCACTCAGTTAAAACAGTTGGGTTAATAATAATCCAAGAGGTAACCCAATTATGGGTTGTTTTGGCATCACCTGCTGTCAGTTTAACCCAACAATTTGAGTAACAAAAATAACTAATTTGTTGGGTTATTTTACCAAAAAGTGACTTAACCACTAATATCTCAAATATCTTTATCATTCATTTATTCATTTTTCTTTTTCGGCTTAGTCCCTTTATTAATCTGGGGTCGCCGCAGCCTTTGTTTTACACAGCGGATGCCCTTCCAGCTGCAACCCATCACAGGGAAACATCCATATACACTCATTCACACATACACTACGGAAAATTTACCTTACCTAATTTACCTATACCGCATGTCTTTGGACTTGTGGGGCAAACCGGAGCACCTGGAGGGAACCCGCGCGAACATGGGAAGAACATGCAAACTCCACACAGAAATGCCGACTGACCCTGCCGAGGCTCGAACCAGCGACCTTCTTGCTGTGAGGTGAATGTGCTAATCACTGCGCCACCCTGCAGCCTATGTGTATCATTTCCTCCAAAAAAAAAAAAAAACTGTAGAAATGAACACGGACGAATAGATCGTGATTTTATCTGTATAAAGATCAGCTATGAAACTCACAATTGTATCATCAATTTGAGAGTTCTGGTGAAACAGATATAAAAAACACAACAGGGAAAGGTAATTTGAAAAATTAAAAAAACACTTTTATTGCATTAGAGCTAAAATAAACTTTGTAAAGCAAAAACAACATTACCTACACATATTAATACAGCTGTTCTGTGTCAGGTAAATCAGACTGTTGAAATTCAAAATTTTTAACCCAACTGGTTGAGTTATTAAATAAATAACCCAACAAAGCACCAAACATTTAACCCAACCAGTTGTGTTTTTAATATATAACCTAATAAATGTTCCAAACAACCCAACAAAACATAAATTATTTTTTAACTCGACTATTGGGTTTAATAAATAACCCAATGTTTTTTAAAGTGCAACTTTCAGAAGTCTTTATATGTGGTTAATGTATTGGCTGCTGCAGCTGCTGGGCAGTCTCTACAGCACGCAGAGCTCCATATTCTGCTTCATCAACACATGATTTCTGCTTGCAAAGTTTATAACTGCACTTTTTGTTTCTTCATTGTTTGTGATTCTTGATTTATTTTAACAAAAGTGGCTGGAACTAAAATGTACACTCTAAAAAAACGTTATTTGATTAACCCAATAGTTTAGTTAAACATATTCAGTGCTTTGTTGTTGTTTTTTTTAACCTTTATTAGGTTATTTATTAATAACTCGACCAGTTGAGTTAAATATTTGGTGCTTTTGGAGTTTTTTTTTACCTTTATTTAATTATTTATTTAATAAATCAACCAGTTGGGTTAAAAAAAATACTTTCAACAGTCAACTGATTTAACAGACACAAAACAGCTGTATTGTTTTTTTTTTTTTTTTTTTTTTTTTGTCAAATTATCTCTCCATCTCGTGGTTTTATATCCGTTTCACCATCCAAGACCATCTTTCAGAAGCGTTTGGATGTGGTTAAAATGTATTGTACATTGTGAATACTGAGTGAAGCCTGCTGCAGCTGCTGGACAGTCTCTACAGCACACAGAGCTCCATATTCTCCTTCATCAACACAGCATTTTCTGCTCGCATAGTTTATAACAGTCTGCACTTTGTTCTGTTTCTTTATCATTTTTGAATCTTCATTTATTTTTAAAATAAATAAAGCATTTAAAATATTTCTGAATGCTGCACATTATTTACGCAGCCATAATTATAAAATTAATAGTAATGCTATTTTAATAGTTAAAATAGTTGGGTTAAAATACTTCAACATATAACCCAATTATAAGTTATTATAGAACCTTCCCAACTATGGGTTATGTTAACCTAACGCATTGGGTTGTATAATTTAACCCAATGCATTGTGTTATTTTGATAAATATCCATTCTGGTATACTATTGCTACTATTACTACTACTATTGTATAATTATGGCTGTGTAAATGAATACCATACAGTTTTCAAACATATTGAAGATGCTTCATTTTCATTACATTTTAAGTTCTAGACACTTTTGTTAAAATAAATCAAGAATCACAAGCAATGAAGAAAAAGAACAAAGTGCAGACCGTTATAAACTGCAAGCAGAGAATCCTGTGTTGATGGAGCAGAATATGGAGCTCTGTGTGCTGTAGAGACTGTCCAGCAGCTGCAGCAGGCTTTACTCAGTGTCCACTATGTAAAATACATTTTAACCACATCCAAACACTTCTAAAAGATGGTCTTGAGTGGTGAAACGGATATAAGAAACATGATATGGAGAGGTAATTTGATAAAAAAATAACAACAATATTATTGTGTAATAGCTTAAATAAATGTTATGATGCAAAAACAACATTAGGCACGCATATAAATACAGCTGTTTTGGGTCAGTTAAATCAGTTGAGTTATTTTTAACCCAACTGGTTGAGTTATTAAATACATAACCCAAATAAAGTTTAAAAATAACCCAACAATGTACAGATTATTTACCTCAACTGGTTGAGGTATTAATAAATAACCTAATAAAGGTTAAAAATAACCCAACAAAGCACCGAATATGTTTAACTCGACCATTGGATTAAATAAATAACATTTTTTAGAGTGTACAAGTAATAGTAGCAATAGAAATACCAGAATAGAAAAACATTTATTCAAAATAACCCAATTAAATTATATAACCCAAATGCATTGGCTTAAAATTAACCCATACTTAGGAAGGTGCTATAATAACTTTTAGTTGGGTTATGTGTTGGGGTATTTTAACCCAACTATTTTAACGGAGAAATGGAAATGAAGCGTTTTCAATATGTTTGAAAACTGTAAGTTATTTATTTACACAGCCATAATTATACAATTAATAGTAGTGCTAGTAATAGTAGCAATAGTAATACCATGGAAAAAAAATAAAATTTTATCAAGATAACATTTAACCCAATGCATTGGGTTAAAATAATCCAAAGTTGGGAAGGTGCTATAATAATCTATATATGTCGGGGTATTTTTAACCCAACTATTTAACAGAGCTTTCCCAGTGATGGGTTGCGGCTGAAAGGGCATCCGCTGCGTAAAAACTTGCTGGATAAGTTGGCGGTTCATTCCGCTGTGGCGACCCCGGATTAATAAAGGGACTAAGCCGACAAGAAAATGAATGAAAACTGTAAGTTATTTGTTTACACAGCTATAATTATACAATTATTAGTAGTGCTAATAATAGTAGCAATAGTAATACCAGAATGGAAAAAAAATATCAAGATAACGTATAACCCAATGCATTGGGTTAAAATAATCCAAAGTTGGGAAGGTGCTATAGTAATCTATAGTTGGGTTATTTGTTGGGGTATTTTTAACGCAACTATTTAACAGAGCTTTCCCAGAGATGAATTGCGGCTGGAAGGGCATCTGCTGCGTAAAAATGTGCTGGATAGGTTGGCGGTTCATTCCGCTGTGACGACCCCGGTTTAATAAAGGGACTAAGCCGACAAGAAAATGAATGAATGATTTAACAAAGCATATGAGAAATTCTAGGAATTCGTTATTGGTGAATAGAAACAGCGTTTTGGAGAAAGAATGCATGGGAGTTTCCATTAAAACAGAAGCCCTGTGAGAAATTCAGTACATCTGAAGAAAACACAATGCGCCAGATGCACACACAGAATCGAGCCCGCATTTAAAATGGGCTAATTGTTTTTCACATGTACAAGTCTCTCTCCCTTTCTCTTTCTCTCTCGCTTTCTCTCACTCTCTCCTCCCACAGTCGGATTTCTAGTGCTGGGACTCAGTGTGATCATGTGACGGGCTCGCGAGCGCAAGAAGAGCTGGTCGGTAACGGAGGACCGAATGCCAATCTCATTGAGAAAGCGCCTTTATTGCGCGTGAGAGACGGGAGGGACAGACGTTTCTAGTGCTGCACTCACACACACACATACACACACTCACTCACTCACACACACAGACAAGACAAGACAGAGGAAGCTTTGGGGAACTCGGGGAAAGGGTGCATTTTCGCCGCCTCAAGAGGAAGTTAAGGACAAATATCTCGCTCAAATAAAGCTTAAAGAGGGGCACGCGGGAGTCGCCGTTTCGAGTAACTTGTGGAATTTATCAGGAATTGTTTATTTATATTTTTAAAAGGAGACTTGGCTTCCCTCTTCACCCGTTTTGAATTTCTTTTGTCCGTTTAATTTCATCTCATCAGCTGCCCTAAAACAACTGTCATCCCCAGAATTGCAGTAGCCCATTGCAGCAGCAGCGGATTGTGCGTGAAGAGACAGCAGCCTTTCCCGCGGACGAGTCAGGCACTTGCCTTCTTCCCTTGCCTTTTTTTGTGCTCTATTTATTATTTATACTCCAGCCTTTATTTATCCTGGGACTTTTTCTGTCTATTTTGGGGCGTCGGTGGTGATTTCTGTGGAATATGGTGGGGGAAATGGAAACGAAAGAGAAGCCGAAGCCGACCCCAGATTATCTGATGCAGCTCATGAACGATAAGAAACTGATGAGCAGTTTGCCCAACTTCTGCGGGATCTTCAACCACCTCGAACGGCTTCTCGATGAAGGTAATGTTGATGGACTGACTTGTGTCCGTCAAATCCCACCGGGATGAAATGAAAGCTGTTGCAAACAGCGCGTTTTACGCGCGTAAGAAAGCCGGTTAAAAGCGTCAGCTGCTTGTTTTGGTGTCAGTCATTCATGCCTATTCATGTTTACTTTCATAGTCATACAAATAGACTCACATGGCCGTTTAGTTCAGCTTTAACTGCGGCTTAAGTTTACGCGCATTCAGCAGTCGACACTTGTCTGTTGTAAACCTGTGGATTTTACAGTGATTCAGTTGGATGCTAATGTGTTGTTAGAACATATGTTTTGGTTTTATTCACGTAAGAACGAATTCACAATTTCACCCTAACACTATATGCATTTTATAGCATAGTTCTTCATGAGACTTTCTCTGAGGTAAATAAAAAACTGTAGCCTAGTAGAATTCATCTCACTGCACATTGAGTTATTTACGCCAAGAGATACATCTCAAGAGTCTAGATTTTATCTTCTAGACCACTCTATTAGTTGGACCAGCCTAAAAGAGAAGTTGGTCAGTTCTACAAATTAGCCTATTAGACTGCCAATGACCGAAAACCCCATAATAATCATGTCACTTACACAAAAAAAAAGTATTGAGTGAGGATTGAGGAAGATAAACTTACCATCACGCCTTCAGATCCTCTTCTGGACCGTTGCAATTTAAATAGATGCCGCGAGACTTGTTGTTTACTAAAATAACCCAACAACATAGTGTGTTTCACTCGTTGAGTTATAAAATGACAACTTTGTGTGTGTGTGTGTGTGTGTGTGTTTTAGCATTCACTTAACTTGGTTTGTCAAATGAATCTTTTCACAATTATGCCACGTTTTGGTGGTCCAGGAGTCGACCCCTCTCTACTTTGTATTTAAGGGTGGGCATTTAATGTACCGTGACACCAGGGGGCTCCTGACTAATTCTTGGTAGAAACCCCTGGAAGCCTTCTCCGGCTGTCAACTTTATAAAGTTGTTAATGAGGTCATATATTTGAGCAAACTAGGCTCTTTTTCTCGTTATACTTCTCGTTATACTGTTTTACAGAGGAAAGTGGGGCTTTATTGCAAATAAAACTGTTAAATAGCTGTTAAAAGAACTGTAAAAACTCTATCTGTCTATCTATCTATCTATCTATCTATCTATCTATCTATCTATCTATCTATCTATCTATCTATCTATCTATCTATCTATCTATCTATCTATCTATCTATCTATCTATCTATCTAAATCCTCAGTGCAGACGCAGTTTTGTCAGTGCTGACTTATTAGTATTTTTAATTTGTAGTGCAACATTTAACACATGCATAGCTCATTTTGCTTTACGGACACTTTCCGCTGGCAATTGAAAATTTGTGAGAGGGAAAAAAAAGAGATATCAAACAAAGCAAATGCAATTTCAGATCATGATGTTCTCATAACGCAGAACCTCTCGGGCAAACCAAAGTTTTAAATTACGTTTATAAAACTCCATCATTGCACACATTACAGGCTCATTACTCATCATTACATACTCATTACAGCACGAGGGAGAGGGAGTCGTTATATTTTTGACATCCGTTAAAAAGTGCTACCACCCTCCCTAGCACAAGTTAGGTAGGTTTTTTTAATCGCACACGCAGTCCTAAATAACTGTTTGTGCCTGTGAATCATCTGCGCTCAACATGGCATTCCAGTGTGGACGCAGTCTCTTGGCATCCGCAATTAAATACCCGAGGATCCTATTCACAGCGGGGTGACATAAGCCTAATAACTCCTCTGTGATGTCATTCTAAACCATTCGTTTCAATATAAGTTCTCTTTTGTCAGTTTAGGTGGTATTAGATATACATCAAATTAGGGCTGCATGATATTGGAAAAATCTAACAGTGCAATTTTCGTAGTGATCTGTGCTATTTGCAGTGCATTTGCATATTTGCATGTGTTGTGAGTATTTTTTTAAAGCACAACAATCTATAAATACAATCAAGAAAAATATACAGTTTAGGGCGGTGAGATTTGGGGAAAACATCTAATTTAGATTTTTTTATTTTTTTGACAGATATTGCGATTTCGTTTTGATTTGCGATTTAATAGTAAAGCTTCAGCTCAGTATTCTGTATCGTAGATTCTTACTGCTAAAATGCAGTGAGTGTTAGTTAAAAATGGAACTGAAGAGATATTAACTAACTCCAACTTTTATTCAAATTAGTTTTTAAACATTCAGAAATGAACCACTACCTTTTCCCCAGATCAAACAGTAGTAAGTTATGGTGTAAGTTATCTGCTGGTGCCTTCGTGAAGCTTTTTCATATGGTGTAACAGCTGCAAACAACTATGAATCGTACTTAGCTGTTGCTTGCCACTAGATTGATTGTCACTGGCTGCGTTTTCAGTTGACTTTTTAGCACTTTTTTGTCCGCGCTTTTTTGTTTGTTTGTTTTTATTGTGGCTTTCTGGGGTGCGTTTCCAAAAACCATCGTTAACCAACTAAGGTTGCAAGTTCTGTCCTTACAAACATATTTCGTTAATTTGACGTTTCACAAATCCATTGTTCCAATGAAAGTCGTGAAATGGCCTCCACAGAATCCCGACCTGGGGTGCGTTTCCCAAAACCGTCGGTAGCCAACTAAGGTCACAAGTTTTGTCGTTACAAACATAGTTTGTTGATTTGCCATTTCTCAAATCCATCGTTCCAACGAACATTCGCAAACTGCGTCGCAAACTTGTGCACTTGCAACTACACCTCTGGAGCTGTAGTCCACTTATCCCCCTATGCCCTATTCATTTAGAGCATTGTAACATTTAAACTCGGAATGATTTAAAAAAAAAGCATTAAAGTCATCTCTCTTAGGTGTAATTTGCTTTCAAAGTAGTATTACAGTTCAGTTTTAGTGATCTTCATGTTTACAGTTGTGCTCCCTTTGCAGTGCACTGTGAAAACATTGATGTCAATTTAAACACAGCCGTGGCTCATGACGAAAGCTGTAGGTGACCGAATATTTAAAAGTGGAATTTATGTTGCATTTCCCAAAGCTTGTGAAAACAAAAAACATTGCATATGTTAATGCTTTTAATTTATAGTAGGTTATTTGTTAAGTATCTGTATTGTATATGACATGGACCTGCTGGTTAGAACATTTCTGCAATTTTGCATTCGTCAAATTGTAAAAGGAGACTTTTCAAAAAATAAAAAATAAATAAACAATATCCTACTTAATAATAATAATAATAATAATAATCATCATCATCATCATCATCAATAATACTATTAATATTATTATTAAAGGATATTTTTTTATTTCTTAATAAATAATAAATATTAAATTTAATTTCTTAATAAATCACCTCATTATTTATTTATTTATAGGATTTATATATGAGATCAGAATACGTATTTGCTCTTGTAAGTGACTTTATGTTAATTTAGAATAGAATATGTAATGTTCTCAGTAATATTTGTAAGGGGAACACAGGCCCTATATGTATTATTTATATATATTTTAATTAATATGGAAAGCGAGTGCATGTTTTTACCAGAACAATATAATTTGCACAAATAAATGATGGGGTTCTTCTCTAAAGAAGTTGTTACCACCCAGTTTAGAGCATCATTATGGGCGTTTTACGTTATAACATGGTTCAAACGATGGATCTGCGACAGAGAAACTTCGGGTTTCGGAAAACACTCGTCACTAAATCGTTCTTTCAAAACGGAAATGCATCGTACTATGATATTTCAGCCACGAGTTACATCATTGTTTGGGAAACGCACCTCTGCAGTTCAGTTGTGCAATTCTGATTGGGTAGAACGAAAGTGAGCTCACTCAATTGGCTAATAAGACTGTCACACACAGACGGCAGTCACGCATTTGCTTTGGGTGGGGGAAATTAAATAATACATATATATATATATATTTCATATAGCAGCCTCTTGCAATTAGATAATCGTAACGTTACAAATCGCGATTGCAATTCGATTAATCACACAGGCCTGTAATTGAAATAATGTTTTATTTCAATTGTTTTCATTTTATTTATCTTCAATGTATTTTTAGATTTTTGTTACGCGTTAAAATGCTCACAACATAATGCAAATACAGTAATGCACTGCAAACAGCACAGACCACAATGAAAATTGTTTTCATATTGCAATATTTATAGCAAAATAAATAAACAAATTGCAATGTTAGATTTTTCCAAAATCATGCAGCCCTAATTTGATGTATATTGAATACCAACTAAACTGACAAATAAAAACTTATATTGAAACGAATGGTTTATAAGTGAAGTTTATTTATAAACAAATTTCGAGAGGATCACGTGCTTATGATTGTTCACAGCTGTTCCAGCAATAGCTCATGACCAATTATCCCATCAGACGATTCCTAACTCACTACAAATAACCAGAGTTTTCTTATCTCAATATCTTCGTCTTGAAGAACCCAACACCCCCCTCCTTCCCCCACCCAACCCTACTTTCCCTCTTTTCAAACGGGCGACACGGTGGCCAGTGATTAGCGCTGTTGCCTCACAGCAAGAATGCCCCAGGTTTAATTCCTTCCAAACCAAGCGACATTTCTGTGTGGAGTTTTGCTCGTTCTCCCCGTGCTCGGGTGGGTTTTCCCTGGTTCCTCCGGTTTCCTCCCACAGTCCAAAACAAGCAACCCTAAACAATTAATAAAATATTCATAGCCAAGGGCTGAGTACACCTCTTCTCAGCCATCCATATCTGACACTTAGCTACAAATAAGCAAGGGGGGAGTCATCGAGATCTAACCAAGCTCAAACTCCCCTCTCGCTCTGCAACAGGAGGGAGCCCAGGGCTCGAGGATCTTATAAGCTCAGGGCTCTCTCCCGGGACAAGCTTTATTATTGATCATCAGCTAAGTGTGAACTCTCGAATGACATCACAGAGTGATTTTATTATTTAATTTTTGTTATTAATCATTGTTAAAATAACAAACAGTTTATTATACTTGAATGCTTTTGATATCATTATATTAA